AGATGAAGTTAAAGATGATGTTAAAGATGATGTTAAAGATGTTAAAGATGAAGTTAAAGATGATGTTAAAGATTTAGTTAAAGATGAAGTTAAAGATTATGTTAAAGATGAAGTTAAAGATGATGTTAAAGATTTAGTTAAAGATGAAGTTAAGGATTATGTTAAAGATGAAGTTAAAGATGATGTTAAAGATTTAGTTAAAGATGAAGTTAAAGATTATGTTAAAGATGAAGTTAAAGATGAAGTTAAAGATGAAGATAAAGATGATGTTAAAGATGAAGTTAAAGATGAAGTTAAAGATGTTAAAGATGAAATTAAAGAAGTTAAAGATTATGTTAAAGATGAAGTTAAAGAATTTAAAGATTAAGTTAAAGATGATGTTAAAGATTAAGTTAAAGATGATGTTAAAGATGATGTTAAAGATTAAGTTAAAGATGATGTTAAAGATGAAGTTAAAGATGATGTTAAAGATTAAGTTAAAGATGAAGTTAAAGATGAAGTTAAAGATTATGTTAAAGATGAAGTTAAAGATTAAGTTAAAGATTAAGTTAAAGATGAAGATAAAGATGAAGTTAAAGATGAAGATAAAGATGAAGATAAAGATGAAGTTAAATAAAAAAAAAAAAAAGTTAAAGATGATGTTAAAGATTTAGTTAAAGATGAAGTTAAAGATTATGTTAAAGATGAAGTTAAAGATGAAGTTAAAGATGAAGATAAAGATGAAGTTAAAGATGAAGATAAAGATGATGTTAAAGATGAAGTTAAAGATGAAGTTAAAGATGATGTTAAAGATGAAGTTAAAGATGATGTTAAAGATGATGTTAAAGATGAAGATAAAGATGAAGTTAAAGATGATGTTAAAGATGAAGATGAAAAAGATGAAGTTAAAGATGAAGTTAAAGATGAAGTTAAAGATGAAGTTAAAGATGAAGTTAAAGATGAAGTTAAAGATGAAGTTAAAGATGATGTTAAAGATGAAGTTAAAGATGAAGTTAAAGATGAAGTTAAAGATGAAGTTAAAGATGAAGTTAAAGATGAAGATAAAGATGATGTTAAAGATGAAGTTAAAGATGAAGTTAAAAATGATGTTAAAGATGAAGATAAAGATGAAGTTAAAGATGAAGTTAAAGATGAAGTTAAAGATGAAGTTAAAGATGAAGTTAAAGGGGAGGTTCTGATGTAAAGTGGAGCTGGTACCGCAGAGCCACAGAACGTCTTGAACCCGTCCACGATGGGCCTGTAGCCGGTGCAGCGGCACAGATTTCCTGTGTTTCAAATCAAAACATTATCATCGATAAACTAAACTTTACACATTTATTTCTCACACGTTACAGAGGCTAAGGCTAGCTCTGTTACGTTACACGTTACAGAGGCTAAGGCTAGCTCTGTTACGTTACACGTTACAGAGGCTAAGGCTAGCTCTGTTACGTTACAGAGGCTAAGGCTAGCTCTGTTACGTTACACGTTACAGAGGCTAAGGCTAGCTCTGTTATGTTACACGTTACAGAGGCTAAGGCTAGCTCTGTTACGTTACAGAGGCTAAGGCTAGCTCTGTTACGTTACAGAGGCTAAGGCTAGCTCTGTTATGTTACACGTTACAGAGGCTAAGGCTAGCTCTGTTACGTTACACGTTACAGAGGCTAAGGCTAGCTCTGTTACGTTACACGTTACAGAGGCTAAGGCTAGCTCTGTTATGTTACACGTTACAGAGGCTAAGGCTAGCTCTGTTACGTTACACGTTACAGAGGCTAAGGCTAGCTCTGTTACGTTACACGTTACAGAGGCTAAGGCTAGCTCTGTTATGTTACACGTTACAGAGGCTAAGGCTAGCTCTGTTACGTTACACGTTACAGAGGCTAAGGCTAGCTCTGTTACGTTACACGTTACAGAGGCTAAGGCTAGCTCTGTTACGTTACACGTTACAGAGGCTAAGGCTAGCTCTGTTACGTTACACGTTACAGAGGCTAAGGCTAGCTCTGTTATGTTACACGTTACAGAGGCTAAGGCTAGCTCTGTTACGTTACAGAGGCTAAGGCTAGCTCTGTTACGTTACACGTTACAGAGGTTTGGGCTTGGGCTTCGAGACACACACTGTGACAAATGTTAGAATGATATGAAGCGCTTTCATCTTTTGTACATTTACATATATAAAGCACACAACAGAAACATTATTACTATGGCAACATCATAGTGGAAATATAATGGTGAGACATAGACAAGCAGCCAGTACAGTGCAGATAAACAGGAGTAGTAGTTTTAGTAGTGGTTTGGACCATGGCTTGATTGGAATAGAAAGAAAAATAGATAAAACAGGCCACATTCTGGACACAGTCTCCTCAGTCTCCTCAGTCTCCTCAGTCTCCTCAGTCTCCTCAGTCTCCTCAGTCTCCTCTGTCTCCTCTGTCTCCTCAGTCTCCTCAGTCTCCTCAGTCTCCTCAGTCTCCTCAGTCTCCTCAGTCTCCTCAGTCTCCTCTGTCTCCTCAGTCTCCTCAGTCTCCTCAGTCTCCACAGTCTCCTCAGTCTCCTCAGTCTCCTCAGTCTCCTCAGTCTCCTCAGTCTCCACAGTCTCCTCAGTCTCCTCAGTCTCCTCAGTCTCCTCAGTCTCCTCAGTCTCCTCAGTCTCCTCAGTCTCCTCAGTCTCCTCAGTCTCCTCTGTCTCCTCAGTCTCCTCAGTCTCCTCAGTCTCCTCAGTCTCCTCAGTCTCCTCAGTCTCCTCAGTCTCCTCAGTCTCCTCAGTCTCCTCAGTCAGTCTCCTCAGTCTCCTCAGTCTCCTCAGTCTCCTCAGTCTCCTCAGTCTCCTCAGTCTCCTCAGTCTCCTCAGTCTCCTCAGTCTCCTCAGTCTCCTCAGTCTCCTCAGTCTCCTCAGTCTCCTCAGTCTCCTCAGTCTCCTCAGTCTCCTCAGTCTCCTCAGTCTCCTCAGTCTCCTCAGTCTCCTCAGTCTCCTCAGTCTCCTCAGTCTCCTCAGTCTCCTCAGTCTCCTCAGTCTCCTCAGTCTCCTCAGTCTCCTCAGTCTCCTCAGTCTCCTCAGTCTCCTCAGTCTCCTCTGTCTCCTCTGTCTCCTCAGTCTCCTCAGTCTCCTCAGTCTCCTCAGTCTCCTCAGTCTCCTCAGTCTCCTCAGTCTCCTCAGTCTCCTCAGTCTCCACAGTCTCCTCAGTCTCCTCAGTCTCCTCAGTCTCCTCAGTCTCCTCAGTCTCCTCAGTCTCCTCAGTCTCCTCAGTCTCCTCAGTCTCCTCAGTCTCCACAGTCTCCTCAGTCTCCTCAGTCTCCTCAGTCTCCTCTCACCAGACAGAGCCTCCCTGACGTCCTCCACACTGGGCTGGGGCTTGTTCCTCAGCAGAGTGTACATGGACATGACCATCCCAGGAGTGCAGAAGCCACACTGAGAACCGTGGGCCTTAGCGATCCTCTCCTGTAGCACCACACAACAGTCAAAGCCACGCCCTAGACCTACCCTAGACCTGCTCCAGACCCGCCCCAGACCTGCCCCAGACCTGCTCCAGACCCGCCCCAGACCTGCTCCAGACCTGCCCCAGACCTGCTCCAGACCTGCCCCAGACCCGCCCCAGACCTGCTCCAGACCTGCCCCAGACCTGCTCCAGACCTGCTCCAGACCTGCCCCAGACCTGCTCCAGACCCGCCCCAGACCTGCTCCAGACCTGCTCCAGACCCGCCCCAGACCTGCCCTAGACCTGCTCCAGACCTACCCTAGACCTGCTCCAGACCTGCCCCAGACCTGCCCCAGACCTGCTCCAGACCCGCCCCAGACCCGCCCCAGACCTGCTCCAGACCCGCCCCAGACCTGCCCCAGACCCGCCCCAGACCTGCCCCAGACCTGCCCCAGACCTGCTCCAGACCTGCCCCAGACCCGCCCCAGACCTGCTCCAGACCCGCCCCAGACCTGCTCCAGACCTGCCCCAGACCTGCTCCAGACCTGCTCCAGACCTGCTCCAGACCTGCCCCAGACCTGCTCCAGACCTGCTCCAGACCTGCCCCAGACCCGCCCCAGACCTGCCCCAGACCTGCTCCAGACCTGCCCCAGACCTGCTCCAGACCTGCTCCAGACCTGCTCCAGACCTGCCCCAGACCTGCTCCAGACCTGCTCCAGACCCGCCCCAGACCCGCCCCAGACCCGCCCCAGACCTGCTCCAGACCTGCTCCAGACCTGCCCCAGACCTGCTCCAGACCCGCCCCAGACCTGCTCCAGACCTGCTCCAGACCTGCCCCAGACCTGCTCCAGACCTGCTCCAGACCCGCCCCAGACCCGCCCCAGACCTGCTCCAGACCTGCTCCAGACCTGCCCCAGACCTGCTCCAGACCTGCCCCAGACCCGCCCCAGACCTGCTCCAGACCTGCCCCAGACCTGCTCCAGACCTGCTCCAGACCTGCCCCAGACCTGCTCCAGACCCGCCCCAGACCTGCTCCAGACCTGCTCCAGACCTGCCCCAGACCCGCCCCAGACCTGCCCCAGACCTGCTCCAGACCTGCCCCAGACCTGCCCCAGACCTGCCCCAGACCTGCTCCAGACCCGCCCCAGACCTGCCCCAGACCTGCTCCAGACCTGCTCCAGACCTGCTCCAGACCCGCCCCAGACCTGCTCCAGACCTGCTCCAGACCTGCTCCAGACCCGCCCCAGACCCGCCCCAGACCCGCCCCAGACCAGCCCCAGACCTGCTCCAGACCCGCCCCAGACCTGCTCCAGACCCGCCCCAGACCCGCCCCAGACCTGCTCCAGACCCGCCCCAGACCCGCCCCAGACCTGCTCCAGACCCGCCCCAGACCTGCTCCAGACCTGCTCCAGACCTGCCCCAGACCCGCCCCAGACCTGCTCCAGACCAGCCCCAGACCTGCTCCAGACCCGCCCCAGACCAGCCCCAGACCTGCTCCAGACCCGCCCCAGACCCGCCCCAGATCTGGCCCAGACCTGCCCATGACACGCCCCAAACACGCCCAAGACCCGGTGAGAGCTCAGACCTGGACCGGGTGCAGCTTGGTCTTGGTGCTGCCGATGCCCTCCACCGTGACCACGTGAGCTCCGTGCAGCGTGACGATTGGCTGGAGACAGGAGGTCACGGCGTAATGTCTGTTACAGTCAAGGAGATGTTTGTTTTGGACGTATAAAAGTGGTACATTTAAATATTTATCACATACTTTTATCTTGATATCTATATAAACAAACCTTACTTACTTAGATATGATAAGATAAAACTTTATTGATATTAAAGACAAACACATTTGGCACAAACAGACTCAGTGCTCAGACTCAAAGACTCAGAGTATTGGAAATAATAATAATAAAAAATAAAATAAAAATAATAATAATAATAATGATAATAATAATAATAGTAATGATAGTAATAATAATAATAAAATAATAATGATAATAATAATAATAATAAAAATGATAATAATAATAAAAATAATACTAATAATACTAATAATAATAATGATAATATCCATCCATCCATCCATTTTCTACCCTTTAATCCATTTCTGGGTCAGGGGGGTCGCAATCAGAGATGCCACCCAAGTCTCATAGCACCAGCCCCTAATAATGATAATAATAATAATAATAAAAAAATAATAATTATAATAATACAAAAATTATAATAATAATAATAATACTAAAATTATAATAATAATAATAATACAAAAAATATAATAATAATGATACAATTAATAATAATAATAATACAAATAAATAATAATAATAATAATAAAACTATAGTTAACAAACAGACACAGGACCATGAGCAGAGAAACCATTCTTAGTGTTTTTCTGGTGCAGATACATCACTTTCTCCTGGTTCTGGTCGTATCTGGAAACCATGACGGTGCAGGCGCCACAGCCCCCGCCCTCACAGCCAGACTTAGACCCGGTCAGACCCACTACGGAAACACAAGCACCACAACACAAACACACAAACACACAGACACAAACACAGACACACAAACACAGACACACAAACACGGACACACAAACAAAGACAACAAACACAGACACACAAACACACACACACAGACACACAAACACACAGACACACAGACACACAAACACACAAACAAAGACAACAAACACAGACACACAAACACACAGACACACAAACACACACAGACACACAAACACACAGACACACACACACAGACACACAAACACATAGACACACAAACACACACAGACACACAAACACACAGACACACACACACAGACACACAAACACATAGACACACAAACACACACACAGACACACAAACACACACACACAAACACACAGACACACAAACACACAAGCAAACACACACAGACACACAAACACACAAGCAAACACACACAGACACACAAACACACAAGCAAACACAAACACACAAGCAAACACACACAGACACACAAACACACACACACAGACACACACACACACAGACACACACACACACAGACACACAAACACACAGACACACACACACAAACACACAAACACACAGACACACAAACACACACACACAGACACACACACACACAGACACACAGACACACAAAGGTCTTTATAAAACATAAAACAAATAGAAATAGAAAACAATAAATTCTGAACAAACCTTTCCTCCGCAGAAAACTCAGCAACATTTCCTCTGGATCAGCGTTTTTATCCACGACCTGTCACAGAATCAGAACTACTGACTTTAATCAAAGGATTTATCCAAACCCAGAGTGAAACATTTAAACAAGACATTCTGGCAAAAGTTAATTTATGTTCTTTTTTTAACTTAAGGAAATTATTATATGATATAGACCAGGCAAGCCATTGAGGCCCTTTAACAGTGTCATCCAGCCAACTTCAGCTCCACCGACATGGCTGGAAAGACTTCTGTTCTGTGACGAGTCAGTTATTAGTCTCACATTTTAGGATGACACACAGAAGTTTTCAATATTCTTGTAAACTTGACACACACTTTATTTTTGTATAAATATATCCCTGTGTTCTCCTACTTCAGGGGGTCCAGGCCCGGACCTGAACAGGATTTCTCTGGGCCGCAGTGCTTTTTTGTTCACCAAAACATAGTTTTCTTTGCATTTTTCATATTGGGAATGTGTCTGGATGGGATTCAGTAAACTGTTTTTTACATTAATAAAGCAATTTTGTTGGTCCCAGAAGAAAGTGAAATATTGCGAACAAACTCCATGAGTGAGTGTGGTCCTCACTGATGTTACAGATGTTACAGAGGTCAGAAAATACATGCAGAGAGAGAAGAGACCTAAGTGAGAGACCAGAAAGAGAGAGAGAGAGACCAGAGACAGAGACTGTTCTGAGGGATGGATTTTATTACAAAGTTAATTTTTTAATTTGGTTTGAAAGTTAGGTACCTCAGCTTTAACTTCATAATCTGGTTATTAAGTTATTATCACATAAATGCCTCTAAAAACTGTATTGATAAAAACAACGACAGGATACTAAATCTGACCTTTTTCCCGTTGATGTAGAAGAGGAGTTCACTGGAGGCAGCCAT